GTCTTAGTTATTAAGGTTTGGTTGTTCATTTATTTCAGTTGTGTCTGACTCTTTGTGACCCCATTTGGGATTTTCTTGGCAAAGATACTGAAATAGTTTGCCATTTCCTTCTCCAGCTCCTTTTGCAAATGAGGAAACTGAGGCAAACAGGGTTAAATGACTTACTTGTAAGACTTGTTAGTAACTCACAAAACTAGTAAGTGTCTGAGGCTGGATTTGAACTCATGAAGATGAGTGTCTGTGCTCTATCCACTGAATCATGTATCTATTAAAGTTTAAAACTACACTAAGACCTTAAGACCACCCTTTATCCTTATCTATGTCTACCTACTGGCTCCTCTGACTCAGACTATAAGTTCTTCAAGGGCAGGGACTGTTTCACTACCGTCCTCTAGTACCCAGCTTAGTGCCTGCTAAATACTAGGTGCTAAGGCAACTTTTTTTCCCTTCCATATTTTCCTTTTATTATGAACTTGACAAACATCATTAAACCACAAATGTTTCCATATACAAAGAGCTGCAAAAGATTGTATTTGAAACCATAAACCCCAATTATGTGTTGTTTATTTTTAAAGTAGATGTTAAATTTAACATGGGAATACCAATATTGCTCTGATTGTCCATGTCCCATCCTAAATTCCTTCTGTTCTCATTTCTGGATTTCTTAAGTGTTTCATTGACTCTTTTTTTTTTAACATCTCTGTCTCTTTCCTACTTTCTTTTCCTCCCAACTCTCCTTCCACAAAATGAAAATTTTCTCTTGTAATAAATTAAGTATAGTCAAGCAAAGCAAATTCCAAGACATTTTTTGAAATAGAATATATAATAGCCTTCAATGCTATTTTGCTTACTGTTTTAAAATTTATTTTCAAGAAATTTGGTTTCTAAAGGTGGGGAAAAGGCAGCATTTCCATTGTTTAATGGCCAAAGATAAGTAACATAAGAAACTTGTTAAGCAGAAAAGTTGCATGATGAAATACTATTTGCATTGCATCAACTCAACTCAGTGCTTATTATCCAAGATTATTTATTTATTGTTCTATTCTTTATTCCCTTTCTTTGTGCAAAAGGGGTAGGTAAAAGCTTAAAGATTAATAGAGCGACTTTTAAATTTTTTCTACTTTTCTAGGCATCTCTGCAAATGGAAAAGATTCTAGATGGTTTTCAGCACATAGTCATATGGTCCCTGTTTACTCTTTTGAGCTATTATCCCCAGTTTATAAGACAAACAGAGGTTAAGTGACTTGTCCAGAGTCACAAAGTATATGAGGTTTGAACTCAGATATTCTTGCCTCTAGGGTCAGGACTCTATCCATTGCACCACCTAAAAGTTAGAAAAAAACAAAAAACACATAAACAGGGCATGGTGAAACAAGCCAGCTGCTGATGAGATTGAGGCTGGTGGATCTCTTGAACTCCCAAGTTCTGAGTTACAGCAGACCCATATCCCATCAGGTGTCTGCATTAACTCTAGCACCAATATTGTGAGCTCTGCGGATTATCAGGATGTCTAAGGAGGCATAAACTAAGCTAGGTCAGAAATGGTACAGTTCAAAACTGATCAGCAATGGGGTCTGCCCTTAAGTGGCCTCCACACTTCCACTCTGTACTTGGGGAAATGGAATACTCAGTTCTCCATCACCCATCCATCCCCAAAACACCACCACCACCACCAACAGCAACAGAAACCAGCATTGCTTCATAAATAATTAACAGGTAGAAGGAAACTTAGAGATCAGGTAATTCAAACCTTTTATTTGAGAAGGAAATTGAAGACTACAGAGTTGGTTTGATGTTCAGGGTCACACAGGACTGCCTTGATACATCATCAGAAAATCTTTATTGAAAGAACTAGCACTGGAACCCAGGACTCTGGTCTCTTAGTACAGGGCTTTTTAATGTAACATGCTCCTTCTGCCTTCAAACCTACATTACATTGGACTGTTCTGACACATTTTGGGGGATAGCCAGTTACCACAATTAATTAGCAGCAAAGCCAGAACTAAGACCTAGATTTCCTGTTTCCTAGTTCATTGCTTTTTTCTTAGTCTACCAGACAGCCTCCTATTTGTCCTAGGCAAATGTAAAAAGAAACTGAGGCAGCATCAGACACTTCCCAAGAGAAATGGACTAGAGCATCTGAGCTTATCCTACCTCAATCTCAGCCAGGGATAAATCCTTATTTTTTACATTTCTAGATTTTTTGATTACCATTTTCTTTGTAGTCAGAACAGGTATGTAAATCGGTTTTTAGTCACGTGAGTACTTCAAAGTTCTCCTTATTTTCCATGGTACTTTCTAATTTTTTGAATCCTAGATTTGGGAATTGTGATCATTAAAGGCAGTGCTGTCTTTTTTTTTCACTTTATATTTAGCCTTCCCATTAATGTTGGTATTTTATGGTAAATGGCATACTGAGATTTATTTTCTGAAATAGATGTATTTTTCAACTATAGTGATACCGCAATGAATAAATCCCCTTGGAATTAAGTTCTTTTATAACAAAGTTGGCCACATTTGAAAAAACAAAAACAAAAAGATTTTCAACTATCCAAAACACTGTTGGTTTGTGTTATAAATATCGTGCAAGCCAAAGCTACCTGTGAGCACAGCTTCTGTGTGTTGTCATCACCCTTAATGACAAACAGGGCCCAGCATTAGACCAAGTTGTATGAAAGTTCTCTGGCTTGCTTTTCTGTGACTTCTCTCTTTTTTCAGTTGTCCTGTGTCTTCTTGGTCCATTTGCCACAGTTTTTCTACCTCACCTTTCCTTTCACCCTCTAGCCAACCAGAGCACACAGGAAAGAAGTTGCTATCCAAACATTTACACTCATTGGTCAAATTGATCAAAATTATGATGTCAGATGAATTTCAATTATTGAGTGGTTTGGGACAGACATTTGCATTTTATGTCCAACTGTGGAACAAAAATTCCCTGATAAAGCAATTTCAGGTAGTATTGGCAAATAGGTGGGAGAAAATGGAAAGGGGGAGGCTTTCTTAAATCATACTACCTGACATACTGGCTGATATTGGAGGCACATCTGATTTAACCTTTTTAGGCTTCTTAAACTAGAGCCCATGAACTTGGGGTTTTCTTTGTTTGTTTGTTTTTAAGTTTGATGAATGCTAGATCACTATTGGTAGATTTGTGAACTGGTGCGGTCATTCTGGAAAACAAATTTGGAACTATGCTCAAAGGGCTATAAAACTGTGCATACCCTCTGACCCAGCAATTTCACTACTATGTCTGTATTCCAAAGAGATCAGAGAAAAAGAGAAAGGACCTATATGTAACAAAAGTATTTATAGCAGCTCTTTTTTGTGGTGGCAAAGAATTAGACATTGAGGTGGTGCCTATTGGTAAATGGCTGAGCAAGTTGTGCTATATGATGTAATGGAATACTATTGTGTTATAAGAAATGATGAGGAGATGGGTTCAGAAAAACCTAAGAAGACTTATATGAACTGATGCAAAGTGAAATGAGCAGAACCAGGAGAACAATGTATACAGTAACAGCAATATTGAAATAGTGATCAACTGTGAAAGACTACTCTGATCAATACAAAAATCCAAGGCAATGCTGAAGGACTCATGATGAAAAATGCTATCCACCTCCAGACAGAGAACTGATGAATTCTTGAGCGTAGACTGAAGCTCTTTTTTATTTTATTTTTCTTACTTTTTTTTTTTTGCAATGTGGCTGATATAGAAAAATGCTTTGCATGACTTCACATGTATGATGGGTGTTATTGCTTGCCTTCTCAATGGGTGTGGAATGGGTGAGAGAGAGGGAGGAAATTTGGAAATGAAAATTTTTTAAAATGAATGTTAGAAGAAAAATTTTTAAATTAAAAGAATATTTTGAGAACTGGCCAGGCACGAAGGCAGATGGCTGTAATGTCTGCTACTAGGGGACACTGAGGCTGGTGGATCATTTGAGCATGGGGGTATTTAGCTGTAATAGGTCTAAATTTGATCAGGTGTCCATACAAAGCCCAGCAGTGATATGGTGAGTTCTACAAAGCAGTGGACTATGAAGTTGCTTAAAGTGGGATGAACCAGCTTAGATTAGAAACCGGGCAGGTCTAAGCTTCTGAGCCAATCAGCAGTGGATCCATTAGTGGCTACTGAATTTACAGCCTGGATAGGATAAGGACAATCAGTCTCAAAAAAAACCCCAAACCCACCTTTTAAAATCTATGTATTTTATTATTTTATGCATTTAAAAACATTCTGAGAAAGGATCCATGGGCTTCACTAGACCCCCAGAGAGGTCCATGACACACAATATAGAAGGATATCCTTTTCCCTGTCATATTTCCCTTAGCAACTTTCTGCTTTCCTAGTGAGGACACAATGAGGTTTTCACCAGATCTATCAAGCTGAAGCTGTTGGGGGCAGAGCAGTCTCATTGTCCTTGTCACCAGCTGCTTCCAGGTCCCAAAGCCTGTAATGTACTAGATACTAGGAAAAGCGCTCTCCCCCTCCTGGTTTGCCCTCCATCTGTTTCTGAGGATAGTTCTGGGTTCCTCCCAAACTGCCCCCCCCAAACTCATACAATTATCCTTGGTTATTGTCAAGACCATCAGCTTCATATTTAAAATTTTCAGTATTTTTGTTAGTATTCAGTGATATGTTTGTACAATCACACATTCCCATTTTTCTGATGTTCTAAAATGCTTTCTATTGCTCATCTATTCTTTCACCTCAGCCATGAAGTTTTTAACAAGAAACCCATGCTTTTCTTTGGAGCACATTCTCTTTGATAATATATTGTATATACTTCTTAATCTGTTTATGGTTGTACCTCTCATTGACTTTCTTCAGAATATTCTGTGGGAAAAAACTCTCCCCACACTTTTTTTTTGACGGTCTAATATGTGCTAGATGATGCATTCCTTTTCTGATGGTAAAACTAATGCACTTGGTGGAGGAAAAAGTATGGGCAGAGTTTCAGGTAGTAATGGATTTTCATTTTGATTTTTTTCCTCTCTAGGAAAGAAGCTGCTGAACCTGTAACATGGAGGATTGCCTTCATACCTCATCAGAAAATCTTTCAAAACTGGTCAGCTGGGCCCATAGCCATGGGACCATTTGTAGCCTCATTCCAAATCTGAAACATTTGCTGTCTGAAGGTTCCCATGGCAACCTGACAGCAATGTGGGGCTGCAGTGCTGGCCATGCTTATCATTGGCCTCTGACCGCCACTTGTAGAGCCGGATCCCAGGAGAGGGTCTGTTTCCAGGACAACAGGAGTTTCAATTCTGATAGTCCCAGTATCATTGGTGTGCCCTCTGAGACACAAACCAGTCCTGTAGAAAGGTACCCTGGGAGGCCAGTGAAAACTAAGCTGGATTGTAACAGAACTAGAGACTCTTGTGATTTTTCTTACTGTAGTGAGCCTTCAGAATTGGATGAAGTTGTGGAAGAATATGAAGATGAAGCAACTCTTTTTGACATGGTTTGTGAGTCTTCTGTGACAGATGAGGACAGTGACTTTGAACACCAGACCCAAAGATCTCAGAACATTGCTCGGAAAAGACCTGGAATTTGTCCATCTTCAGTTCTTTCAAGCACCCAGTCACAGGTCATCGATGAAAGCAGCAGTGATGTCATTGTGAAGAAAATCAAGCAAGAGATTCCTGAAGATTATTACATTGTGGCAAATGCTGAACTAACTGGAGGAGTGGATGGCCCCACACTCTCACTAACACAGATGGCAAAGCCTAAAACCCAGGCTCATGCTGGCCCCTCTTATGTTGGGCCAGCCAAGCCAACTCCCCATTTGGCCCCAACACTCAGCACAGAATTGGACCTACAAAACATCTCTGCCTCTCCACCCATTATTTCAAGACAGACAGTCCAGAAGCCCATCAAGGTATCCCTGGCTTCGCCTAATCGAGGACTTTCTGGTAGCCATGGGGCCAGCCAACAGGTGGCGATTCAGATGCCCGTGAGCACATCCAGTACCAACAAACAGATTAGCATTCCTCTGTCTGCTCTGCAGATCCCAGGACAAGAGGAGCAAGTGGCTTCTGAGGAGCTGCTACCACCTCTACCCAATCAGGTCCCATCCTGTGAGGTAGCCCTGTCACCCCCGCTTAGCACAGAGCCAGAAGTGAGCTCTAGCCAGCAGCAGCCCATGGCCCTTCCCACCATCACAACGGAGGCCACAGCACAAACAGTACCAGGTATGAAATCTCCAAACATCCCATGCACGCAGAACATTCTGTACAGTTTTCTAATGGCATTTTACAGATAAGGCAACATGGGGTAGTGGAGAGAGCACTGAGTTAGGAGATGGAGCATCTTGATTCAAATTCTAACTCTGCGCCTAAATTGCCTGTGTGACCTTGGGCAAATTAGTTAACTTCTCTGAGTCTCAGTTTCCTCATTTTTAAGGGTTAGATTGAAGCAGGGGCTCTTAACTTTCTTTATGTCATGCTCCCCTTAGGTAGTCTGGTGAAACCTATGAACCCATTCTCAGAATAATGCTATGCTGGGGTTTTTTTAACTCATAATTGAAGGAAATGCTAAGTTTCAGTTCGAGTTCAGTAAAAATAAAAATACATGTATGTACATACACATATTTCCCTCCCCCATCCAAGTTCATGGATCCCCTGAAATCTATTCATGAATTCCTTTGGTACCATGGATCCCAAGTTAAGGACCTTTGAACTAGAATATCTCTATGGATTCTTGCAACTCTAAATCCCGTGTATCCTGACAGTCAGTGTTTGTGAAATGCTGTTGTCTACTTGGAATTAGAATTCAGGTCATAATTATTTTCAGATACGTATTATAAATAATTATATGACAATTAGGTGAAAAGTATAAAAGATTCCAATCCAAATGTAGGACATGAAACAGTCAACATACATTAGCACTTTAAACAGGGTCTTAAATCTCAAATCCACCAACTTCCAAGCAGCCCAATACAGACATTTCCAGGGATCTATAAACTTGGTTGGGAAAAAAAATTGCAACTTGATTTCAACATAATTGGTTTCCTTTGCAATCCTGTGCATCTTACTTTGTGCATGAAAATAAAACATTTATACATTAAAATGAAACATTATTTAAAAGCATTCTGATAAGGGGTCTTTAGATTTACACAACTGCCCAAGAGGGTCCATGACAAAACAGGCTAAAAATTCCTAACTTAGAGGAATCACTGAGATGTACTACTTACTGTGTGCCTTGCTTAGCAAGGCTTATGCTATACAGCTACATAGGTGGATCTGACATTAAATTAGGATTTCATATAGAAAGGTTGTTTTTTAATATGTTTTAGTTTTTAATGACAAAGTTCTTTAAGAAAAGGTTCTTAATTACTGTATTTGAAGGCCAGTTGATGCTTGAATGTACTAAGGATAGGCTTAAGAGATGTGTTCCTAGGTAACAATTTTTCCTTGTTCAAAGCAACTTACAACTTCCCTATTTTTATCAAGATTTATAATCCCTGTTATATTTTTTTAAAAGTTCCCCATGGAGGTTATAACATGATTTCTGGAGATTTTACAGATATATCTCAACTTTTTTTCTGGGTTGGTTTTAGGGTGTCACTACTTGGAAGTGGCTGTGGGATTAGTGACTTGGTAACTTGGGATCTTTTTCAATGTTTTATTTTAATGTTCACTGTTTACTAGATGCCAGCTTTTTCCTATCTCCCATTTCATGCCTGCTTTTTTTTTAAACTTACTATCTAAATTCAGTATACATGCTAGAAACTCAAATATCATATGAAACAGTTGGTTATAGACAAAGATGGAAAAACAGCACCAAGGTGCCACGGTCAGAAATGCATGACATTTTTCTCAAGTTTATTTTGGTCCCACTTAATGGTAACAAGTAGGATAAGCTTCCTGGAATAAATGAGTGAATCCAGGCGCCCTGAATTCGGTAGTCAGCCAGAGGTACCCATGCCCTACAGTAGGGATGATTAGTTCTTTGCTGTGCACCTGCTGAGATATTTTTTCTAGTTATAGACCAAACTATGACCTCATTCCTCTAAGAAAACCTTTACCTGATGATTTCTCTACCACAATCATGATGTTTATTATGTGTCCCTTTGAAAGAGAGGGAGCAAGTCTGGATAGCAAGTCAACAAGTCAGTCTTGGAGCCAGGAAGAACTGGGTTCAATTCCTGTCCTCGACACGCAGTCTGTGTGATCTCATAAGTCCCTTCATCTCTCAGTGCTTCAGGCAACTCTCCAGGACTAAACTGCTGACTTGCTTTAGAAAACAGAGTTTCTTCATCCAGGATTTATCTTTACCAATGAAGACACAGATACATCCCAATTTTTAAAATGCTCATATTTTAATTCAGAGTTATAGGTTAATAGTAATTCATTCTTCTTAGCTTTCTAATGTATAGCAAAAGACTTTACACTTAAGAAAATCTGACTTTCTGGCACCTACGAATTGGCTGTTCAGAGAATAACTGCTTTCCTTAAAATGGTTTTGTTCCTTTTTTTTTTTTGAGTACTAAGGTAGGATGAAGGTTCAGAAAACAGTGTAATTTCAGAGACTTAAACTATGTAAAATTGCCTCCACTCCCAGTTAATTGATATTTGCAAGTTGAATTAAGGAATTTGTTTTGTAAAATGGTTTAGTCTGTTCCACAGATAGTTGTTTAAGTGCTGGGCCACTAGACCTAACTTACATTTAAGGGTTTATGATATATTTATACTCACTTAGTGCTGATAAATAAAACAATGTGGAGTCTTACTCAGTACTAAATAATACAAATAGCATTTTAGCAAAGAACGTAAGAACATACTCATGCCCCAAAATTATAAAATAAAAACTTAAATATCTTGCCTTGGTGTATACTACATTTTGATTTCTTGTGTTTTCTTCCACTTCTGTCCTATCCACCTACCCCTAGCCCACCTCCACTGAATGTTTAATAGCGAATAGAGAGAGACATAGCCTTGACTTAAGAAAAGTGTCTGTGACACTTACTGTCTTTGTGACCTGGAGTCTAGTCACTGAACTTCTCGATGACTTAAGGCAACACTCTGAGACTAGGTTGCAAGACAGATGCTGGTTCATTAAATCACATCTAGAAACTCCCCCCATCACCATATCTGTGTGTGTCATCCCTACTCCCCATTTTATTTCTTCTCTGTAACAAAGAAATAAAGTATTTTTTCAGTAACTTTCATTTGAAAGATTTCAGTGGTTTTGGTTCAGTCTCATAAGCAATATAGATCAGCTTTGGATTTGAACATTCAAGGAAAAGAGAAAAAAAGGAGAAAGGTTTGGCATAATATTCTCTTTTGAGTTGCATTTGATATTATGAACCATAATTTTTTTTTTAAAAAAAAGATCCTCTACTGCTGAAATTTCATCTTTCTTTTAGAAGTGCTTTTGAGTTCCTACGTTATCCTTGGTTCATCCAATGTTCTCAGTGGCATTTTGGGGCAGAATTTCCAATTTCCAATTAAACTTGGATCTTTAGATGGTGAAATGGTTTCTGATATTTGTAATAATATTAATTTATAGTATCTAATCTTTATTCTCAACATGAATCCAGAGCATTTGAAATTAGAGTAGGTCCAAATGCATCTGAAATCTGTGTATAGATTTACCTTGAGCAATTAGCATAAGTAAATAATACTGCCTAGGCCATAAGCAAAAAGGAATTCAAGGATGCTCCAAAAGAACCAACCAATAGCTAAATTTGATATGCTTATCATGGGTTTCTGTATAAGCTTGAACGTTTGCCAGATCATTGCAGAAATGGCTGTATGTCATTATGGTAAGTGGTATCTATGTATTTATAAAAATAAATAATTAGATTGAACCAGATAATCTTTTGCAAGGTCCCTTCTAGCTCTTACATTCTGTGATTCTATGGTGATTGCAGAGCCATTCATAAAGAAAGATAAATAACTGGTTTTTGTTATTTTAATACCATTAAAATGATGTATTGCAAGTAGAAATCACCTTAATTTGCCTACAAAAATGTACATGCAAGGTTAAGAATTAACAGTCTCAGTTTGGGGGAAAAGTAGCTTTTCTATTTCCTCCAGGCAATCTCTATCAGCCAAAACCTAAGTAAACAGTAACCAATGATATTATTGAAAGAATTAGTACAAAGCTACCAATGCATAAGATTCTATAAATTCTGTTAAAGTTCTACAAATGTGTCAGTTTTACTTTTAATTTGTATTTTAATTCCAATTTTATTTGTATTTTAGTTTTAATGTGTTTGATAATTTTGTCAGATTCTACAAATATATCAGATGTTTAATTTTAGTTTGAGGCATTTGTTATATGGGATTTGAATTATATACTCTGGATTGGTTGTTAAAATTTTGTGTATGTATGCGTGTGCATGTGTGTGTGTGTGTGTGTGTGTGTGTGTGTGTGTGCACATGAGGGGTAATCTGTATGTATGTATGCGTGCCCCTTTAGCACATTCATATACACAATTCTGACTTATACAAGTCTTACTTTCATTAATCAGTTCCTTTCCCAAGGGTTACATATTGGCAAGCAGTCAATTTTTATAATTGCTTCTGATATTTGTAACTTATAAATTGCTTTTGCATGCATGCACCTGATGGCTGTACTGCCTTACAAAGAAGAAAAGACATACTTTGGATAAGGGATGACAAATTTTTGCATAAAATGTTTCATTATTAGGACAGCATTACAAAAATCAATCATATGTCAGCCCCGAGCTCAAGAAGATATTTTTGGAATAATTAGTAAGTTAACATGTGCTTGTCCCTCATGTGCCTTAAATATTTCCTAGGACTCTTTTTAATATTTAAATGGAATATTTATGGTTTGCTGCATGAGCAGATCAAAGCAGTTGCTTGTATCATTCAAGAGAGTTCACATTGTGACAACATTTTGGGATGATCCCAGTTACTTGCTGATCAGATTATGTTAATTAATCTTTTTTTTTCCCCAAGGAAGAGCCTTCCCCCCACCATCTTCACCCAGTTTTGTAGAAAATTGTATAGGTTAGAAATCAGATTTAGTTTTAGGTCTGAGATTCTGTGATGTCAGTAGCCCACTGGTTGGTCTCCCTGCCACTAGCCTCTCCCTACGTCGTCCACTCAGTTGTCAAACTGATCTGGCTAAAGCACAGGTCTGACCGCGTCACTTGTCTGAGCTCAGTAAACTCCACTGGCTCCCTATCGCCTCCAGGATCAAGATTAAATCCTCCATT